TTTTTTTGAGACAAGGTCTCACTATGTAGATGAGACTGACCTGGAACTCACTGTGTAGCCCAGGCTGGTCTCAAACTCATAGTGATCCTCCTGCCTCAGCCTCCCGAGTGCTGGGATTACAGGCGTGTGCCACCAGGCCCGGCCTCATGCTTATTTTTTAATTGTTGTTAATTTTTTGTTTGGGGCGGGGATTTAGCTCAGTGGTTCTGGCGCCTGCCTGGAAAGTGCAAGGACCTGGGTTCAATCCCTGATACCAAAAAAAGTGGGTTTTTTGTTTGGGATATTTTGAGACCAGGTCTCACTATGCGGCCCAGGTTGGCTTTGAATTTTCAAACTGCTTCTGCCTCAGCCAGGAGGCTGGGATGACAGGCGTGTGCTGCCACACTCTGCTTCCTCCTAGATTTTGGTTCCAGCCCCTTCAGCAATGTTTTTCTTTTTCTCCTGAGTCTGATCACGTCTGTATTCTGTTTAAGACCTTCGGTGGGTTACAGCTTTTTCCCCCCAGGTGTGGGGGAACTGAACCGAGGGTCTCTTGGGTGCTAGGCATTTGCTCTACCACTGAGCTACCTCCCAGCCCTTTTTGTTCTTATATTTTATTGAAAGACCTGATCTTGCTAAATTGCCTAGGCTGGTCTTGAACTTGCAATCCTCCTGCCTCAGCCTCCCAAATGTTGGGGTGCACCACCACACCTGCTTCTTTTTTTTTTTTTTCTTTGTACCAGGATTGAACTCAGACCTTGAGCTTGTGAGGCAGGAACAGTGCCAATGATTTAAGCCCAAGGCCGTCCTCCTCCTTTTTTGAAACAAGGTCTTGTGGTATTGCCCAGGCTGGCCTTAAATCCCTGTGTTCAGCAGCCTTCCTGCCTCAGCCTTCCTCCTGGCAGGCATGTGGTGCTGTACCCAGCTCGAGCCAGGTTACCCGACATGCCCCTTGAATCATCTCTCCCACATCAGTGGCCTTGCACGGGTAACTTCCTTAGTGTACTAAAGCCCTTGACCAGCCAGGCGGGGTGGTACAGCCCCCTCATCCCAGCCCTGGGGAGGCTGAGGCAGGAGGATTGCCACAAGTTTGAGCACAGCCTGGGCCACATGGTGAGACCCTATCTCAAGAATCCAATAAACAAATAAATGAAGTAAGTCCTTGACCTTCTGCTGTCCTGAGGCCTGAGCCAGGACCCACCCCCAGGGCAGCCTTCCCCATTGTCTTTGGATCCATCCTGTGGATTATTTTCCTCTCCTGGAAGTCTTGGGTAGCCTCGTGGGTGACCTCATGCACCTGAGGACAGGCTGTAGCTGCCCTGAGCTGAGCCTCACATGTCTCTCCTCTCCCTCCTCCAGCAGGGCCTGGCCAGCAGCACGGATGGAGGCCTGGAGTGCAGGGCGTGGGACCAAGAGAAGCTGGCCGCAGAACTGGCCTCTTCCCTCCAACGGTGTGTGCTGGGGCTGGGCGAGGCCGGGGGCGCACGGCCCATGGGCAGGGGTGGGGAGCACACATGGCAGACAGGCTGTGGCATGGCCCTGTCCCTCCCACCCAGCGCCCAGGGCCTGCAGGAGCAGCTGCAGTCCCTCCAGGCACAGCTGGAGCAGGTGGCCCGGCGAGGGCGTGCTGGGCGGGTCCAGAGTGCGGAGCTGAGCGCGGATCTGTGCAGAGCTCACAGGTGGGCCTGTGCGCCCCCTGGCGGTCTTCCCTGGGCCTCAGTCTCCCCCGTTGTTCCGTCCATCCCTCTCCTCCCCCAATGGCCGTTGAGCGGCGGTGGGACCCCTGGGGACCCAACCTGAGAATGGGAGGACAGAACCTGACCTAGGCCCCCCACAGTGCCCTGGTCCTGGGCTTCCGTGGAGCCCACCGGAAGCAGGAAGAGCAGCGCCGGAAGCTGGCGAAGCAGATGGCACAGATGGAGGCCCGGCAGGCCGAGGAGCTGGCCGGGCTGGAGGCCACCGCCCACGCCCTGGGGAAGCCCCGGCCATGGCCCCCGCTGTCCCCGCTGGGGGAGACCCTGCTATAGTCCAGGGTCACAGTGTCCTCCAGAGCCTCCTCTCTGGCCTGCCGGGTGTGGTTGGGCAGGGTCGTCGGCTTGGCCCCGTGTGGATGACAAACGGTTCATCGGTGGGGTGTGCTCAGAAGCATCCTAGACAAGTGCAGGGACCCAGGCTGAGGCACTTCCAGGCTCGGTGCGGTGACACAGCCAGGGCCCAAGTTCCACTGGTTCGGTCCAGAGCCCGGGGAGGGGTCCATGCGGGCACCACACAGCTTCCCCTGGCCACCCTCCTCCCAGTGGGAAGCTGGGTTTGCCGGGGAGGTCTTACGAGACAGTGCTCCCGAGGGAGACGGACTGGCCGGTTCAGTTCATGGCCTGAAAGGTCGCTCTCAGGTGGAGGAGTAGTCTGAGATGGCTCGGAGACTTGCATTTACAAGTGGAGCTGACTATCCAGCAAGTGGGCACTCAATCTGTAATCCCAGCACTCTGGGAGGCTGGAGCAGGAGGATCTCCTCTGTCCTGGGGAACTTAGTGACTCTGTGAGACCTTGTGTCAAAAAAGTAATAAAAAGGGCTGAGGATGTAGCTCAATTGTGAAGGCCCTGGCTTCCATCCCAGCACTGATAGACACAAAAAAAGTAGAGCTAAAATAAGGAGGCTCTAGGGGGCAGGCGCTATAAAGGCAAAAGCCTGCAAGTCCTGTGCTTTGGGGTGAGAAGAAAAGTCCAAATGGGTGTCAGGAAAGCAGGCCTGGCCCACACAGTCCAGCCTGAGGCTCTGGCTTCTGCAGGGCTTGGGGCTGGTTTTGCCCAGTGAGCAGCCAGCAGTAAAGTAGCATATCCTTTGCATAGGCCACACCCTGGCACCCCACGGGGCAGGTGGAGGGGCTGGGACTAGTGGCCTGCTGTCCCCTCCAGGCCAGAGCTGAAAGTCAAGCCAAGGATTAGGAAGATTTGGACCATGGCCAGGGGCGGGCGCTCCAGGCCTCACCTGGGTAGGTGTGGGCCAGTCATGCGGGCCTGGCCAGCGGTCACCCCGAGCTGGCCAGCGCCTGGAACCCGCTCCTCCCCGCCCCAGAGGCAACACAGAGTGGAGGGCACCTTGTCCTCCTCCCCTTCCTCTCCTGGTCTCCACCCTGCCTGGCTTGAAAGAAAGCAGGGAAACTGAGGCAGGCCACCTTGGAGGGGTGCAGAGTGGAGCCAACTTCCCTCCCTCACAGCGAGTCTCCGGGTGATCTTGGTCCCCAGTCCCCCAGGTGGCCCTGGGCGATGAGGGAGCCAAGGTCGCCTGGGGGCGGGGCGGGTTCCCAGGCATTAGCCCAGTGTCTGGAGGTTCCCACGGGCGCCCCCGCAGCAGATGGGCCGGGCCCCTTTGTCCCTGGTCCGCGGCAGCCACAAGGTCAGATGTCACCGCGGGGCCGCGGGCAGGGGTCAAGGGTCGGGACCGAGCCTGGTGGCTAGGCAGCCCCTGGGGTTCTGGGAAGAGGGGGTCCTCCCCGGCTCCTCCTACCCAGCCCGTCCTTCTGAGTCCCCTCCCCAGACCATCGCCTCCTCTTTCCAGTCCCCTTTCTTCCCTAAATCCTTGTTTCTTGCTCACTCCTGAAACCCGACTGGTGCCCCACCGCTGGGACCCATGTCCTCACCCCAAATGAGCAGCCAACGCCCAGATCCGGAGTATTGTATGCCCACCCAGGTGAGACCCAGGGAAGTTCTGCCCAGGTCTGCCTGAGTCCCGCCTGCTTTCGGAGTTCAAAAGGAGGCAGCAGGCAGAGCCGCGCTGGGAGTGCCCAGCTGGCTGCAACCGGGCTCAGTTTCCCTTTAGCTAACGCCCAACCTCCAAGCAGGGAGGCTCTCCAGGAGCAGGTGTGGACCGGGGCTCAGGCTGCCCAGCAGGCCGGAGCTAACTGGTGCCGGCCTCGAGGTGGAGGTAAAAGGTCGCCTCGGCCAGGCCCTGTACTGCAGTTAAACGTTAACAGCCCTGGAGCCCGGCCGTGCATGCAGAGAGCGCCTAATAGATGTGCCGCGCTCTGGGGTTTGGCCGAGGGGCGGGGACAGGAGGCAGCTGGGCTACCCGGAGCGAGCGACATCTGCAGTCCAGCCGGCCGGGCCCTCCCTGTGCGGCGCAGAAAGAAAAGGAAACTCAGGGGGGAAGGGCCGGTGGGGGA